TTCTATGATAAGAACTCACTATCTGATAAAAATTGCTGGGAAAACTGGAAAAAAGGCATAGATCAACATCTTACACCATATAGCAAGATAAGGTCAAAATGGATATATGATTTAGACATAAAGGATGATTACAATAAGCAAATTAGAAGAGCAGGGAATAGTTTACCTGTCATATCTATGGAGAAGGGAAGAATTTATGACCAAACGAGATAGAGAACATTATGAAATGCAAAATGGATAATTTTGATTACATTAAATTAAAGAGCTTTTGCACAAACAAAGCCAATGCAACCAAGATTAGAAGGAAAGCAGAAAGCTGGGATATAATTTTTACTGCCAGTGTTTCTGATAAAGGCCTCATTTCTCAAATATATAGAGAACTGAGTCAAATTTATAAGAATACAAGTCATTCCCCAATTGATAAATGGTCAAAGGATATGAACAGGAAGTTTTCAGATGAAGAAATTAAAGTTATCTATAGTCATATAAAAATGCTCTAAATCATTATTGATTAGAGAAATGCAAATTAAAACAACTCTGAGGTACCACCTCACACCTATCAGATTGGCAAATATCATAGAAAAAGGAAATGATGGGGGTTGGAGAAGATGTGGGAAAATTGAAACATTAATGTATTCTTGGTGGAGTTGTGAACTAATCCAACCATTCTGGAAAGCAATTTGGAACTATGCCTAAAGAGCTATAAAATTGTACACACCCTTTGATCCAGCAATTCCACTACTATATCTGTATCCCAAAGAGATCATAAAAAAGGGAAAATGATACATTTGATATACAAAAATATTTATAGCAGCTCTTTTGATGGAGGCAAAGAGTTGGAAATTGAGGGAATGCCCATCAATTGGGGAATGGCTAAACAAGTTGTGGTATATCAATGTAATGGAATACTATCGTGCTGTAAGAAACGATGAACAAGCAGATTTCAGAAAAACCTGGGAAGACTTACGTGAACTGATGCTGAATTGTACACAGTAACAGCAACATTGCTCGATGACCAACTTTGAAAGACTTGACTCTTCTCAGCAATACAATGATCTAAGATAATGCCAAAAGATTCATGATGGAAAATGCCATCCACATCCAGAGAAAGAACTATGGAGTCTGAATACAGATCAAAGCAGATGATTTTCACCCTTTTTTAGTTTGTTTTTTCTTTCTCTTGTTTTTTTTTCCTTTTGTTCTGATTCTCCTTTCATAATATGACTAATGTGGAGATATGTTTAATACGATTGTACATGTATAACCTATATCAGATTGCTTGCCGTCATGGAGAGGGGGGAACGAGGAGTGGAGGGAGGAAGGGAGAAAAAACTTTTGAACTCAAAAATCTTATAAAAGTGAATGCTGAAAACTATTTCTACATGTAATTGGAAAAAAATAAAATACTATTTAAAAAAGGAAGAGATTGAACTAGATGACTCCTAAGGTCTCTTTGAGAGGCAACTAGATAGCTCAGTGGACAGCATGCTGGGCCCGGAGTCTGGAAGACCTGAGTTCAAATCACTCACTAGCTGTGTGACCCTGGGCAAGTCACTTTAATCTCTGCTTGCCTTAATCCACTGAAGAAATGGTAAAGCCTTCCAGTAGTATTTTTGCCAAGAAAATGCCATCGTCACAAGGAGTCTGACACAATTGAAGAACAACAAGGTCTCTTTCAGCTCAAAACCCACTATGTTTTATTGTCTGGCATACAGTAGGTGCTTAAGGCATACAAATTGATTGATAAGAGTTCTTGACCTCACATACTGGTGTAGAACTCTAATAACATTCATATCATCCTTTAAAGTTTGCCAAGTGACTAAAAGACCTTCTGCCAATGTGGTCACACCTATTTTTCAGAGGAACCAAAGGATCAGACAGTGCTTTGCTGGGGGCTACCCAGCTGCTGTCTTCCTGACTCTAAGGCCACCTTACCATGTTTGCCTTTCAGTCTCTGCAGCCTTTATTCCACATGATTAGAGCAGGAAGATTATTAGATTTGCAGTTAGAGAATCTGGGTATGAATCCCACCTCCATCATCTTCATGATCTTGGACAAGTTATTTCCTCTTTCTGGGGCTCAGTTTTCCCCTCTGTAAACTGAAGGGGCTGGAGGAGATATCCCCCAAGGAGCAGGGAGCAACTGTGGAAAGGTTTCCTGATGCCACACAGAGCACAGGCCCACTCCCATCTTAACAAACTCAGTTCACATTTCATCTGCCCAGATGAGGTTCAGAGAAATCAGAAGAGAAGCAGAGTTTTCTTTCCTTTGGAGACAACAATGGTCCAGCTCACTCACTCACTCACTCACTCACTCACTCACTCACTCACCTGTAGAGGTATGTGCCTGGCCTGCTGTCTCAGTTCACACTGAAAAACGCTCAGCTCTGTTTACTAATAGCTACTGATTGCCGTAGGCCTCTGAGAAGTTTGAGGAGTTAGAAGCAACTCCCTGTTTCTGACAAGTGTTTGTAAACACAGTGTCTCAATGAGCCAGAAACCTGCCCAGACAAAATCCAAGGAATCTACATTGACTCACTCTCCCCTATCTGGGGGAAGGCAGGTGGATGCTATTTGGCAAAAATGAAGAAGCCTGATCTTTTCCAGAACAGATAAGATTCAGAAGTGAAAACAGGAACAAAATAAAAAGGAAAAAAGTTAAAGCATGAGTGGGGAGCTCAGAAGCCAGGGGTGCTGAGTGAGCCAGCCAGGGCAGGCTCAAGCTAAGTGTCTCCCCTGTATATCTTGCAGGCACGTAGGTCTTTGCACTGTTATCTCCCCCACTGGATCAGGAATGCTTTAAAAGCAGCGGCTGGTTTTGTGTCTCCAGAGATTAGCACAGTGCCTGGCACATAGTAGGTGCTGAATGTTTGTTGGCTGACGCAATTGGAGGCCCCAGGAGAGCCCAGAGAGAGCCCCCTAGCAGGAACTGAGGAGGAGGAGGAGTCCCAGGCAGGGTTGCTCTCTGGGCCTCCCTTCCTAGATCTGCCCCGGACAGTGGCTGGATCAAACTTGAGCAGATGTTTACAGACAGCTCCAAACGCACAGCTTGGGCTCACTTGAGCCAAGGCAAGCCCAGGACCCTTTGCATGACTCTCCTGCTCCAACTTTCTGGCTTGCTCAAGTCCAAATATTGACATTTCTCAGCACTGAGATGTTTGATATCGCAAGGGATAGAAACAGCCCAGCCAACAGAGCAATTTATTGGAATGCCTAAAATTCCTCCCCTCCCCCTTCCTTTCAGGTCTCCTGCGGTGGAAAGCCCTCCCATCCTCGTACCTTTCCCTGGCTAGCCCCCTCCAAGAGTTCTGAGGACCGGGACCAGGTATGTGGGATCTCCAAGCCCCTCGTGCAGGGTATCAGCCCCTCAGCTGTTGTCACAGCAACCCACAACAGACTCCACAGAGACACGCAGGAGTGGGGGGTGGGGGAGCACCAAACTCTGGGCTGATCGGGAAACTATCCCGAGGGTGCCAAGTACGATCAGAGACGGTTTCTCCTGCGTCCATGCCTCCCGAGTGCCCGGGGCGTGCCAGAGCACAGCCCTTTGTCATGCGGGGCACAGGGAAGAACCAGCCTCATTTCGGGAGGGGGGGGGTTTGGGAAGCCCTGCCTTTGAAGAGCAGGGTGTATGTGGCGGGGGGGCGGTGCAACCTGTTGGGGGGGTCCTCCTCGAGCCAAGTGGACCCCTGCTGTGAGGAGGGGGGGCCGGGGGCGCAGCTGTCACTTCCCTTTGTCTGCAGGGGCACGGTCATCGGCACCGCAGACAGCGCTGCCCCTAAGGGAGGGCGGCCGGAGTACCGGCCAGCGAGGAAGCCGCGGCTGCTCCGGAAGTTTGGGACAATAGCGGACTCACGACACAGAACCTACCCTGGAGCCCTGGAGCCCTGGAGCCCTGGAGCCCTGGAGCCGGGGAGCCGGGGAGCCCTGGAGCCGGGGAGCCCGGCAGCCCGGGAGCCCTGGAGCTGGGGGCGGCGCTCGGTGGTCTGCGGCGGCGGGTCGGAGGGAGGGCCGGCTGGCTGGCAGCGGGCAGGGGCCGGGGGGCGTGCGCTCTAGCAGCCACAGCTCGGGGCCCGGGGGCGCACGGGGCGCCGCGCGCTGCCGCCGCCCGCCAGCCGCTGCCCAACTTTGCACAAAGGCGGCGGCGGCGGCGGCAGCGGCATGGCACGCCCGCCCCTCCCCTGCCCGCCGGCCCGCCCGGCTGGCTTCCTGCCGCCTGCCCGGCCGGCCGGCCGGCCCGCCGTCCGCGGCTGGGGCGGCTGCTGCGGGGCGCACGCTCACCCGCTCGCTCGACGCGCCCTGTCCCGTCCCGTCCCGTCCTGTCCCGTCCCGTCCGGTCCGGTCCCGAGGGGGCTCCGGCCCAGCCCTGCTGCCCTCCCGCCCCGCCCGGGCGGCTGCGCTGGCTGGGGGTGGGGAGGGGGCGGAGGAGGGGGGAGGCGGTGGAGGAGGGGGCGGGGAGGAGCGGGAGGAGGCGGGAGGAGGGAGTGGGCGGCGGCGGCGGCGGCGGCCACGGCCACGGCTCCCACTGTGACGTGAGCAGCCTTCGCGGCTATTTATAGGCACGCATTGGATTTCATTCATGAAAACAGGGCCTGGTGGCCGGGCCCGGCCCGGGGCTGCGCGCGCGCGCTGAGGGGCCGAAGGGCCCCACCCCGCCCCCCGCCGAGCACCGACACGTGCCCCGAACGGCCACCACACCCCGAGATCCCCAAGGCGGGCCCGACCTCCTGGCTCTGGGGACTGCCCCGCCCCTCCCCTGGGGCACCACTCTTGTCTCCGGGCACAGTTCCACATGGTCCACACCCGGTGAACGCTGGGAAAGTTCACCCGCGGGTGCCCCCCACCCCTACCCCGGCCTAGCAGCGGCGGCCAAGCTGCCTCCCTTCATCCAGCTTTAGCTTCAAAGGTGCTCCCCACTGCAGCCCAACCCCCCCATAGGGGCGGGGTGGGGGGGGTGGCAGGATGGGGCAGCCCATCCTTCTTCCTCCCCCCCACCCCCTCGACCCCTCCCCCGTGGGGATCACGGAGAGGGGGGTGTAGGTGGAGGCAGTCTTTGTTGTTACTCTGAACCTATCTGTGGCCCATAAGACCCCTTCCTCTTCTCAATCCCATTGACTCCCAAGAAGGGTGCCAACAGTGGGACTTTGAAACGCAAGTTTTCTAGCTTTCTGAACACTTCTCATTTGATGCAAGAAGCTACGTTCTTATGTATCACACCTTGGCAGGTAATGGGTTAATTTTCCCAACGACTTACCGCTCCTCATGGTGGAAAGGGTCATTTCCAGCGGCTAACCCCATTCCTGTCCGAAGGCCATGATACTGTTAGACAGAAGACGGTAAGATATCTGAGGCCAAGGCCAGTCCCTTGTGTTACTTTTCTATCCCATACGCCTTATGCCGTGATAGCCTTGTGAAGCTTTGTTAGAAAGTAACTGAGCACGCAGAGCCCATGCGGATCAGGCGGTTACAGTATCGGCTTTGCACATCTGTCCTCTAAGGTCTCTCTGTAAAAGGCATTTTAAATGGGAGACGAAGCCAAAAACGGATCATGCAAAATTAAAGTGAAGGCCGGGTTCTCTGCCTCCCCGTAGCCTTCCTCAAATTACCAAGTCTCTGGAGGCTTTGGTTTCTTCATCTGTAAAATGAAGGGCCTTGTTGGGCCTCGATCTGGGCTCCTCTGAGGTCTGACATCTCAAGCCCCTTACAGCCTCCACCCTTCCTACCTTTCTACTACCATTTTATTCCCCTCCACTTCCTCTAAAATCGAGTCACATTGGCCTACTGGTTGTTTCACAAAGGACATCGGCCCATATTTCTGCTCGCCTCTCCCCACAGAGACAGAGACAGAGACAGAGACAGAGACAGAGACAGAGACAGAGACAGAGCTGTTCCTCCATTGAAGGTAGTGCTTTAACTGGGAGGAAACCAGGGATTAGCAGTTCAAGCACCACCTTCTCTGGAAAACCTTCTCTGATCTTCCAGGGCACACTAGAACTTCCCCTCAAAGCTACTGTGTATTTATTATATATTCATAATGTTGTATCTGCCATTAGAATATCACCTCTTCTTGGGAAGAGATGGCTTTACTTTTGTCTTTGTACCCCCAGAGCTTGTGAGGTACAATTGCACACACACACACACACACAAAACTTAGATCTGTTTTTGCTTGTCCTTTGTTTTCAAATAGGACCAATGACATCACTTGCTTGTGAATTGAATTTAAGTGAAGCAGAGTTTCACAAAAACATTAGGCTCTCTCTCTTTCTTAGTCATTGAAGTCCAGTGGCAGGCCAAAAGTCAAAATGACTGGCAATGGCCTGGGGATGCAGTGTATGAACTTGGTGTCTTCAAGGTGTGACCCAGCTCTAACACTCCATCTGCTTCAGCCACCTTCCCAGCCACTGAAACAAATGTTCTCATCCAGCAGTGAGGTGGAAGTCTGTATCTATGGCTGTCTGTCTGTCTGTCTGTCTGTCTGTCTCTGTCTCTCTCATAGGTATTTAATAACTTTCTTGCTGCTTGTTTGGTATTCCTGGGTTTCATGACTTCAATTCTAATTTGCAAGTGGATAATGTGTAACTTTGGGGGGTGGGGAGGTACATACACAAATACTTACAGAATCTCCTATCTAATCAAATCCAAGAATCCTCCTCCCTAACAACCAGGTAGCATTCATCCTTACCTGAGAGACTTTCAATGAGAGGGAATCCACAATTTCCTGAGGCCACTCCCATTCCACGTCTTGGCTATTTCAAATTGATAAGACGTTTTCCCTTACATTTTGCCTTATATTCTACAAACTCTTCAACTTGTTGCTGTTCCTACACTAGCCCTCTCAGGCCTCCTACATCAGTCCTCTCAGGCAAACAAAGCAAGTCTTCCTATTCTGGTTGCTGGTCAAAAAGACATCATAAAGTCAGGGATATTATGGATCAAAGGATTGGCTGAAGGGTTAATTGTTCTACTTAGGATTTTTGGTTCTTGCCTATTCTCTTCTCCCTTTCATTTGCATCAGAGTATTCAATTCAACAAGTATTTAAAATTAAGCATGCTTGCTCTCTCCTCCCCCCCCCCACCCATGTGTGCCCCAACACTGTGTCTCAGAAGCACTGAGTTACAAATACAAAGAATGAAATGATCCCTATTCATAAGGGCAGGACAGTGGTGGTGTTCATAAAAATTTTGGAACCAACAAATTTCTTGTGTTTATTTTTTAGCAGGTTTTCCCACACTCCTGAAATGGGCAAAGGCAAAGGATACACATTTAAAGGGTTATATGGGAGTTGGAAGTTATTTCTAACCCTAAGTAAGAGATAAGTCTGGGACTTCAATACAAGGCCCCCAGATGTGGTAAGTTAAAAGACAGATTCGTGTAACTGATTGGTGTTCTTTATTCTAAAAAAAAGCTTGGCCTCTGAAGGCAAGAATCCTTTTGGAGGGGAAAAAGCTGAAGAGTTAAAACCTGTCAGTTCCTAGATTTTCTCTTCTTATGAAAAGTGAAAAGCTAAGTGTTTTCCCCTAATCTAACACTGGGTGAACTACAGTGCTCTCACTAAAACAGCTGATACATAGCTTCTGTAAGTGACTCTATAAGTTAAGAGATGAGAAAGCCCATATCTCTTATGAGGAAAGAAGTGAAATCTCCTAGACACATTGAAAATGTTGCTACGCCCGAAATATATGCCCTTGGAGAGCAACGTTATGCATACTAAGAGTCTGTGGGACCATCAGAACACAGGTCAGGGGGCAGCTAGGTGGTGCAGTGGATAGAGCTCTGGCCTTGGAGTCAGGAGGACTCGAGTTCAAATCCAGTCTCAGACACACTACACATGACACTTACTAGTTGTGTGACCCTGGGCAAGTTACTTAACCCCGATTGCTTAGCAAAAAAACAAACAGAAAAAAAATCCCACAGGTCAGAAAAAGTCTCTTTGTCTATGAAACAGGTAAGGGGAGCAACTGGTGGTGGCGGGGAGAGAAGCGGCGGGAGCAGCCTATGATAAAGGGGGTGTTGTTCCTCCATGTATGTGCTTTTAGCCTACATCCTTATGTCTCTATCTGCTCTCCCCCCCATATACTCCAGGCCAGAGGTTCACAAACCCTTTTTGGTTCTAGAACCATTCCCCTTTAGACTCTTTTAAAAATCAATGAAATCCCCTTTTTTTTTTGTGAGGTTATATATATTTACTGTTTTAGAAATTAAAACATCTTAGTATTGTTATTAAAAAGAGTTTTTACTTTAGAGCCCTCCCAGAAGTGTCTTGGGATGTTTGCAAGTGTACCTAGACCACACTTTTAAGAACCAATGTTAGATAACACACACATACATATATCTATCTCTGCATGGATGAAGAATGATATATGTACTTTCTATACAGTATGGACAATCCTTCAATGTATTTCCTAGGTTGGTCCACTCTTTCCATCGATGATATGTGATTTGTGGGGAAAGTCTGTCCAGGTTGATGAGGAATATTTGATTGGTACTTTTCTCTTGCTACATTGTTTTATTAAATAAATACTTCTGTTTTGCATTAATTGCCATTCTCTAGCTGACTACTAAAAGTAAATGTAACATCTGGGTAATGACCTATGATTTTTGATCAGATGAAGTATATTTTATGGGAAGTTTCATTTGCAACAACAACAACAAAAAAAGATGTTCTGGGTGCTTCTATTGTATTTTAGACTATCTAATCAGACTCTTCCCTAAGACTTCTTTTCTTAGCCCTACCTAGTAGTTTCACAGATTTAGAGGTGGAAGAAATCTCATAAATCCTTTATTTTAAGGAAACTGAAGACCAGAGAGGTTAAGGGATTTGGCAAAAGTACCCACAGGATCTGGCCTCAGACAACTGACACTACTTACTAGCTTTGTGACCCTGGACAAGTCATTTAACCCATATTGCCTCACCAAAAAGCAAAAAAAAAAAAAAATGTCCACAGGTTTAGTAGTAAGAAGCAGAAATGTGGATTTAAAATTTAACACCGTGCATCTATCATCTTGGTGTGTTTTTTGGGGGGGATTATTTCTGTGGGTGAAGGTTGTTTATATTTTTGTTGTTTTCTAGTGACCTCAAAATTTCTCCCAAAAAAAAAAAAATCCTTATTCTTCCCATTCTGCCATCATTCAGTCTTTATCATCTAAGCAGAAAGTATTCCTTCCAATTACACTGCCAGGCACTACTTCTAGGGAAGGAAGGGAGGCTAGCCCCTGCCTTTGATCTCCTTCCTTCAGCCCTAGAAGGTTGGCCAAGACAAACACGTGTACCCACTTAAAGAAATACTGGTGCATCAGAACCTGACCTTACAAAACAGATGTATCTGGAGAGGAAAATGATTTATAAAGGATTCTTTGTTTTACCAAAGGAAGTCCCCTTGAAACATTCAGCTTCTCCCTTTTGGTGCATTTACAATTCAATTTGGGGAAAAATCTAGTTTAGAGACAGCCTTTCAGGAACATGTTTTATGAAAAGTGAAGAGTACCAGTGCCCATTTTCCAGCCCTCTTGCTTATCAAGATCATAGGATCACTTGGCAGGCAGTTCAAATGTCTTCTACATGGCTTTTGGGGGGGGGGTGGGGAAGGACTAGCAGGAAGAGAAACTCTTGAGTCAGGCATTTTAATCCTTGTTCTGGCACTCAACTGCTGTTTGGCCATGTGTGACTACTAAATCTTCCTGTGCCTCTGTTTCCTCAGCTGTAAATCAGAGATTGGCACTGGTACAGGCCTTGCTTAAGTATCAGGCATGATATAAATAGCCAGAATCTGGATTCTTGTCCCAGGAGACTTTCCAACTAGTGAGTGATATTCACACTCTATAATTAACCTTTCCTTGCCTGAGGGTAAAGGATTTTGATCTTCCTGATCGAACTGAGAAACTTTAGTCAAAACAACTAATTGAATTCAACAAATAGAGCTGTTTCCTGTACATTACATATCAGCGTACATTATTTGTAGAATACCGAAAGCAGGAACTTTCTCATTTTTGCACCTTACCTTCATCTCTTCACCTCCAGTGGAACCTCTTAATGAGTGACCTTTCCTGATTTGTCCATTGTTGGTATCCCTGCTCCTGTTATTCTGTGTGTGTGTGTGTGTGTGTGTGTGTGTGTCTGTCTGTGTCGGTGTGTGTTTGCATGAGTTACTGTTGTTATTGAGTCATTTCAGTCCTGTTCAACTCTTTGGAGTTTTCTTAGCAGAGTGAAGTGGTTGGCTATTTCCTTCTCCAGCTCATTTTACAGAAGAAAAACTGAGACAAACAGGATTAAGTGACTTGCCCAGCGTCACACAAACTAGTATGTGTCTGAGGCCAGATTTGAACTCAGGAGAATGAGTCTTCCTGACTCCAGGCCTATTTGCATCACCTAACTTTGTGTGTATGTATCTGTATATGTATATGTATATGTACATGTACATGTATACGTATATGCACATAGTTGTTTTTGCTTCATTTTCAAAGACGACCAATGACATCATGAGGTGATGTCTTGACTTGTGTGTGAATTGGATTAAAGTGAGCCAGTTACACAGCCATCAGCCTCACTCTGTCTTCCTGAATCATTGAAGTCCAGTGGCAGGACAAGAGTCAAGATGGCTGGCAATGGCCCAGCATGCCGTGAATGACCTTGGAGTCTTCAATGTCTGACCAAGCTCTAAGTGCTCTAGAATGCCACCTTCATGGCCATAGGAACAAATTGTTCTCACCCATTCAGCTAGAGGAAGTTAGCCCCCCCCAACACATACACACACATTGTAGTGTAATGCACACAATGATTACCTAATGAGTTTAAAGCAGAGATGCAGATAAAGTATCTAAGAACATCTGAGGAGGGAGAAATCACTTTCAGTGGGTGTGAGCAGAGAAGCATTGTAGAAGGGAAAGGGAAACTTGATCTGGGATGGAAGAGGAAGAGGTGGCCACTGAGAGGTGGCTGGAGGCTATTACAGCTAAGGATGGAGGTGATCGATCAAGAACCACTTAGTAAGGGCTTACCACATGCCAAGAATATAACACAGACATAGACTGTGCTGCCTGTGAATGTATGGGAGTGAAGCGTGTAAGATGACATCAGCCAGAAAATGGGGCACAAAAGGGGTATGGTTTAACTAAAGCTGGAAAAGTAGAAAGGAACCAGACTGGAGAGGACTGTGAAATGCCCAGAAATGAAGTTTTGTATTTTAGTTCGTAGTTGATAGGGAAGCAATGAAGATTTCACAGCCAGGAAATGAGAGAAGTCAGACAACTTGCCTTGCCTTAGACAGTTTACTTGATCAATGACTAAAGAACAATTAGCAGAGTATTACAAAAATGTCAGTAAGAGATGATGAGGACCTGAAGAATGAGTGTGGCTGATGGAAGGAGAGAAGTGGACAGATGGGATGGAAGATATCCTGGAGAAAGGACTTGTCCACTGATTGAATAAGAGAGCCTAATGAGCCAGTATTAGAGACACTTAGAGACACCTGTGTGCCACAAGGGAAGTGTGGTTACAGAGGAAAGCCTGGAGAGCTGGGAGGAGACACAGAATTCCTACCATTTGTTCATCTCTTCCCCAACATTGCCCCGGCCCCAAATCCTCTACCAACTGCATTATTCTTTCTCTCTAGGTAGTGACAAGTCTAAAGGACTTGAATTCTCAGTACTTCGTCCTAACATTGGCTGGCAGTTGTATCAATTTCCTCACCTGTGAAAGGGAAATTCGTTTCTTATGCTCTGAACAGTGGACATTTCCAAGAAGCACCATGCCATAGTGTGTTAATACAGAGTTCTGGACTGCAGTCAGGAAGACCTGGGGTCAAATCCTAGCCCCTTACACTTAGCTGGGCCATCCAGCTTCTAAGACTTGGAGCCACTCTCTAAAACACCGAAAATATTACCTGGGTTGTGATCGACATCTCCAAGCTGGAAAGAAAACACTGTGCTTGGAATCCTAGAACCTGAAATCAGTCGTGCTGCTGACATTATTTGTATGATCTGGGGTGATGATGATAATAGATGATGATAATAATAATAGTAGTAGTATGGAAAGACAGATTTGTATATATAACACACATATACATACATGCTTATAATATACATGTAGTATAATATATATAGTATACTATATACTATATACACACTATGTATAATATATATATGAATATATACATATACACATACACACACATATATGTGTGTGTATGTGTATACTAGTATAGTATTTGTTTTGGTCTGATCAGTCATAGTCAGACACACTGTACCTTGACCCCAATATAGTGATGTCATTTTTGAGCACAAAGGACAACAATCAAATATCTCTCTCTGTCTCTCTCTCTTTCTCTCTGCATACACGCGCACGCACAGACATACACACACACACTCACACACAATACTAATGGTATTATATACTATTATTATTATCACATTATATATACACTACATATTAATATTATATATTATTATATTATACACACACACATATCACTTTAAAGTTTGCAAAGCCCTTTAAAACATAATATCATCAGATCTTCACAATAACCCTGTGAGGTAAGTGCTATTATATCATCCCCATTTAAAAGATTAGTAAACTGGAGCTTCCATAGACTCATGGTTTTCCCATTTCTAAGATGAAGGAGAGTGGCCTAGCCTGGCCATTGATATTCTTTCAAGCACTAACTAGTCTAGGATCCTGTGCTCTCCTGGTTTTAAGTTAAGTTACCTTTCAAGCTTCAGTCATTTTATTGGGCCCTTAAGATATGAATCATAATTATCCATTAGTGATAATTTACTATATGTGGTCCTTCCCTGTATAAAGGTTCTTTTAGAAAAATTGACCTGCTCTAGCAATGCTACCAGATTAGGTTGCTAAGGCCCTAACGAGAGTTGATTTCCTTCCTGGGAGGTTGCACAGGGCTTGGTCCCTAGAAGGAAGATAAATTTGGAGGCTTCATTTTAATTGGCACTGTGCCTTCCTTAGTGGCTCCTTGCCTGGAAAGCCATTAAGTGCTGACTTCCCTTTCGAGCATCTAGCTATAGTCCCCAGGCTCATGGCCACAGTCATTCACTGCCTCCGTTAATATTTTGGCAGACTGGAATGTTTCACGGGACGTAAAACCACCATCGGTAAATGCGCCAGCCATGTGATTAGTTAAGTTTAGAAACAGCTAGTCACACATTAGTGGCATCAGTAGTTAAAACTACCTTGGTTCAATGATGAAAGAGCGACTAATCTCTCTGCTTCAAGGCATAAGCCAGTGACTATGGGAAGTCAGGGGCCTAGCTTCACTTCACACTATCCAGTAAACATCACTGAGAGTCGGCATTAGCTGACTCGAATTCATTTCAGTTTCTGAAACTCCAAGAATGATGATGAGAATGACGTCTCATCAACTCTTCTTCCACAAGAGTGCTCTCACCTTTCCATTTTGACTACACCTCCCCAAAAAGCCCTTTTCCTACAGATCGGTTTTGTGTCTAGCTGGTTTCATTTCTTTCCAGGACGTCGTCCACACAGTTTCCGGAACAGGACCTTGCCCCTCTCAGGCATTCCCCATTACAGTCAAACTGCCCCCCTCAATGCTCTCCATACACAGAGTGTCATTTATTTCCTCCAAGCTTTTGCACGGGCAGTACCCCTGCCCCCTCTTCAATGTTCTCCTCCTTTCACCTGTCTCCCACCATCCTCCAAGACCCATCTCAAAAGTTATCTACTTCACAAGGCTGATTTCTTCAGGTGCTTGCTCTTTCCTTATCCCCAAATTGCTCATCACCCAAGGGGTCTTCAAGCAGACACTGAGAAGAGTAAAGAATAACCAATGTACAAGTTGGATGTCAAGATGAAGATGGGGGCAGCTAGGTGGCTCAGTGGAGAGGGCACCGGCCTTGGATTCAGGAGGACGTGAGTTCAAATCCAGCCTCAGAGACATAACACTTACTAGCTGTGTGACCCTGGGCAAGTCACTTAACCCCATTGCCTAACCAAAAAAAAAAAAAAAACAAAAACAAAAACAAAAACAGAAAACAAAAAAAGCATTCTAAAAAGATGAAGATAGGAGGGGACCGAGAACATTGTGTAGACCTCTTGCAATGGACTTAAGTGGGGACATGGAAAGAAAGGGTGGTGACTTGTGTCATTAGAAAGAACATCCATGCTGATGACACCACAGTCCATCAATTTCCTTTGGAGTGAAACTCCTAAAAACCACTATATATAAGGAATGAATGCTAAGGCTAAAGGCTGAATGGAAATGTCCTACCAAAGACAATCTAAGGGATAAGGAAAGAGAGATGTCACAAGAAAATATGCATGTTCCCACCAACACCAGCATCAATACTCAAGGTTATTTCTTGCAATTTTGTTAAAAGCCTGGCTACTATGGGCTAGAACAGAAGCAAAATGAAAAACAGTAGGAAATCACAGATTCATGGTGATATGGCAACGGGAGGCAGCATTATATAGTAGAATGCACTAAGAGCTAGTAGATCTGGATTCTAATCCCAGTTCTTCGACCAATTCACTTGTAAGATTCCAGTCAATGGACAACCTGTCTTTGTCTCGTTTTCCTCAACTACAAAACAAATTGTTGTCGAGCCATTTCATTGGTGTCTGACTCACTGTGACTCTATTTGGAGTTTTCTTGGCAAAGATACAGGAGTTGTTTGCCATTTCCTTCTCTAGCTCATTTTACAAATGAGGAACTGAGACAAACAGGGTTAACTGACTTGTCCGGGGTCACACAGCTAGTAAATATCTGAGGCTGGATATGAACTTAGATATCCCTGACTCCAGACCCAGTGCTCTATCCACTGTATCCTAGATGCCCCAAACAGATAATAATTAATATGATAGCTAATTTCAGAACTCAGCATAGTCTCACAAAAAATGGATGCTTAGCAAATGCTTTGGAATTGAATTGTTATGATATCATCTAGCTCTGCCAGGATATTCAATATGTATAGAATTTGCAACAAATAAATATTGTTATCTTGCCTTCTCTCTTACCCTCCCCCCTCCCAGATTTATTCAATATTTGCATGGAATCATAAGGGTTTCCAAGTTGGAGGAGTACTTAGTGGTCACCTATTTCGAAGTCTTCCATCCAATACTTCTATGAGAAGGCTCTTTATACAGGAACTGTGATATATAACAACAAATAAATGTCAGAATCTTGTCTTCTCCCTGACCCCCCCCCCTTAATTTATTCAATATTTGCATAGAATCATAGAGTTTCCAAGTTGGAGGGGGCACTTAGTGGTCACCTACCTCAAAGCATTCCATCCAGTATTTCTATCAGAAGGCTTTTTATACAGGAACTGTGATACATAGCCCTGTAACACAGCCCAGCATACCCTAGGAATACACTGTTCTCCCCTTGCTATCCCTGGAAGGGCATGATCTTGGCCCTTTTGCCATTGGTGTCCATGACCCATTGATAACAACATTGAGGGGCTTTCTGCTATCTAGGCATAGTATCACTGAGGATCAGCCGCTGATTGATATCTTACCACTGATGAAGTTCACACATGAGTTATGCCTTTGGGTTTGGCCTTTACCAAGGACTGCTGAGATAGAAATTCCTTTGAGTTTTCAGTCAGACTAAATTAGCCTTTGCTGGCAAAACTTAGAAGCTAGATTCTGATATTCCCAAAGGAAACAAAAAGTGGAGGTATGTGCCAAAGAGATTTTTAAGGAGATGTACCCCAACTTTTAACTCAATCTATGTAAGTCCAGAACCTTAGTAAATAAATGACCAGGGACTAGAGTTATAAGCTTATTAATTTTAACAGCTTCCTTTGGTCTAATCTCTATAATAAACTTATCATGGATTTCATTGGTACATCCAAAATTCTCTAATGATATTTCTTAGCTTCTGATAAGCACTAAGTGAAAAACCTAATTTATGCTGCTTCCATTGACCTTCTGCAGAATATAATTAACATGACAACCAGAGGCCCCTCGTGACTGGATTGCGTAGGGGGAACATAATCAAATTGTGTGTTTTGGTAAATAATATAAGGGTCTGACGTCCACAGTCAGACACGAGGTCTTTGCCAGATGTAAATTGGTTATTCACGTGAACAAGAGCTGCCTTTGATAACTGGGGATTCAACGAGCTAAATTCACAATGAAATGAAGAGTGTTTGCAACTAAATAAAGTTTTTTGGAGTCATGTAGTCAAACTCTTCTGAGGGGGTAGAGCTAATGTCCTGAATGAGATGCTGTACAGCTGCTGAGCCAGGGAGCTCCCCTTGCCCCATCCTCCCATGATTCTGATACTGGGGTGCAGGGGTGGGAGCTCCCAGAATCACAGAGAAGCCTCTCCTTTCACTCACCCCTTTTTTTTAAATTACCTGTCTCATGATGGAAGGATGAAAGAGCTAAGAAAACAGGCATTGGGGTTATGGGGAGGGTGCAGGGAGAAAGGAGTATCAGATATCTTTAAGAAAAATGAAAACCTGTGAAGGTACACATAATTCAGAGAAAATACAAGTAAATCCTTATGCAAGTTATATTCTCTTCATGCAAGCTTCCTGAAGGCAAGGACCTTTTGTTTGTTTTTGTTTCTGTATCCCCAGAACCTAGTATAGTCCCTGGCACCTAGTAGGTGCTTAACAAATGCTTTTTGAATGAACTTGAATTGGTTTA